AGAATCAAGACTTTCAGCACACTTAACGCCTTCGACCTTTTTTTACATCATCCCTGAAATTTTCCCATTATTAGGGTGCCCCCCCGAATTTCTTTCATGCAGATTGGCCGCTACTCGCCCCGCCCGTCTACTTGTGAAAAAATTCGAGACGGAGCTTTTCAGGGAATTCTGTTGCTGATTGCTTGGTTGTTTTTCCAGTCTGCATAAATCTAAAAACAAACAGTCCAAAACATGTGAAGTGCAATTGTAATGCTCTTGCTTCTCGATCAACAAATTTTCCCGGCACTTAACTGGTCCTTCTTTCAGAGTTGGTGGTTTAAATGCAAATAACTGGTGTTAGTTTTAAGCATTGGAAACTCGGTCGTGAGAATCTGATGCTGATCTGTAGGAGCTCCATGCTTCTTGCATAGCAGCCTTGAGGGAAATTACCCAACAAGTTGACAAGAGCAGTAGCCAAGTGTCGGTAAATAGCAATTCTGGCGGGCCGAGGAGTCCGGGGGGTGGGGGGGGTGACAGGTGTTGCCCAGCTGTGTCTTTGGCTGCGATGACATTGCACTCATGTTAGGAGGCCATCAGCGACAGCAGCAGCAAACAAACTTTCACAACTTGCCGTTTATGACACAGGTCAGCATTTTTCTCCCTGGCACGCAGCCACGAATGCGGAGGAAGGAAAAAAAAAATGCTCATTCGAGTCGTGTCCACGTCAGAAATGTTCATGTTATTGTTCGAACACAGAGGTGATGAATGAAGAATGGATTTTTTTTTTTTTTTTTTTGAACAGAAATATATTGAATGATATCCAACTTTTTCCTTTTGTCAGCCGCTCGCCAAACAACCGACCCCCAGCCTTGCCTCCCGAGGAGACTTTTATTCCCTGAACTGTGAGAGAGTGTTTTGGCAGACTGGACTTGTACGCCTTGCGCAGACATTGTGATATTGATAAAGATTCACCCCCCCCCGTCCTGCCGCCTCCAGCGTACTCTCTTCCCATCAGACGATGACTGTAGCCCTCCGCTGCTGGAGCTGAGCTGTCTGGCTCGATCCAGGTGTTCATCAGCCTCGGCGAGCTTTGGAGCAGTGTTTCCCCACCGGCTTGAATTGCGCTACTGAGGCCGCTGGACTCCCTTCAGATTGAAAAGGTTGTCACCCCTTTTCAGTGTTGGGGAATGAGTGGGGGGGGATGGGTGCTTGTCACAATGTTATAAATTCATTCTTTGTAGAGGGGGTTGGTGGTGGTGTCGGTGGTCTCTATGCAAGCCTATTCAAGCTTTGGGGGTGGGGGGGGGAGTACAAAAAAAGCGCCTCACCCGAGGCAACAATTTTCACTTAGCATTTTAGCAATGATCGCAGTGGTCCCTCGGTCTTGGCAGTTTTTCTCACTCACTCGCGATCATATTGGTTTCTTGTTTTGTCCCCAAAAGACTGAATTTGCGTAAAAGTCATTGTTTTTTTTCCCCCCCCCCATAGTTAACTCCAGCGCTCTCATTTTACAAAAAAACTGAAAGAGAACCCCGACATGTCGGCCAGATGATAGTTTTCCACACAAATTTGGACAAAGAACAGGGTGTGGTATAAAGTTTCAGCCATTGTCCAGTGATGAAGTGGAAAAAACACTTGTCATTCTAACGCAACATTAAATTTAGCACAATAACATTTCTCATGGGATAACATAAAGCGACTGTTGAGCATCGGCTGGGTTTTTTTTTTTTGGTGAATTTATCGCATTAACAACAAAGTCAGGGCAGGAGATGCCGGGGACACGACTAACTGTTTCCGCAGTTGACATACGCGTTTCCGCGCTACTCCGGGACAGCTTTGACTGCCCCGTAAGAAATGACAACAATGACCCAATATTGCGTGAATGTTGCGGGGATTGCTACAACGCGCAAGGATTACCGCCGTTGTGAAATCGTGATGGTACTGGTTGTCTCCGAACACCTGTCGATTATCTTTCCCCCTTACCATTTACGGCGGTGAGATCCGTTTCGTCAAATAGATTTGGAGTGAATATGACATCTGACTTCACTCGACACACCCACGTTGTTTACATCTGCAGCAAATATGTTCCTTTTCTTCTTCTCTCAGGGGTGCGTGGGTGCTAATTGTTCTCCAGAAGTTTCCCCTGCACCGTTGATGACGGGGTTCCAAAATTCTGCGCCGGTTGTCTCTCCCACCCGAGTTTTCGCAGATTGTTGTGATTTACGATTTCAGGACTTCAAATGAGCACGCAGAACAGGCGCCGGAATTACAGATTAATCAGACGACCCATATCCCGTTTTGTTCAAAGCCACAATAAATAGTCGGAGATAAAACAATCGCCGCTCTTGCTGCATGCGCACATCTGCAGCCTCCAGTGAAATTAAGCTGTCGCTCATTGTTAGCAACGCAGAGAAATGTAGAACACATTGCACTTCGCCATTTTCCGCTGTGGAGTTTAAGCCTAGGAGACATTCGACATCACCGCTTAGCGGAAACCCATCATAAGCACTTTGAATCTTTTAGCTGACTTCTTGAAAAACGCTGTACTTTGTCCGTTGTGCTTCGCCGTCGCGACGCTTGACGGGAGACAAACATGGCAGATAACGCCTTTTCAGAAAAAAAAAGGTTGCATACAAATTATTTTATAACATGAGGAATCCATGTCATAAACTTATTAAGATCCTTAACATCCATCCACCCGTTTTTGTGTCGCGCAAATCCTCACAAGTGTTGAGAGTGAGGTGGAGCCTATCCCAGCTGATTTTTTTTACACCCTGGGGTGGTTGCCAGCAAATCTTAGGGCGCATATTAAAAAAACAGAATTTGAAGGGCATTTGCCTTGAGCTTGTATTGTCCTATATTCATTCTATTCTTTTATTATTATCGATTTAGCCATATTATGCTCTATAGTCAGGACGAATACACGTGTAACGCTTTCTTTGCCATGCTGTGATCCTCTGTGGTGATGTCAAGGCAATAGTCACTAAACTCAAGTCTGAGTGAATTTGTGCTCTGGCGCGGTTTAACCACTGGACTGTTTGGAAGAGCTGAAATATGATTTTTTTTTCTGCTTAATCCATTATTAAATGGCATCATCTGCCAGCATTTGTCTTGGCCGTGACTTGCAGTGTCAGCAATGTCAGTGATTAAAAAAAAGAAAATCATTACATGGACGGGAGAACATGGTTGAAGCATTGCCGGATGAGCCAAGTTCCAGTCCACACAGTATTACCGGGATAAATGAGCAAACTTCCCTCAAGGTCCCGAGGCCGTGTGATCTATTAAGGCGCTGTCGTCTCGGATGGCAAATCTCACAGAGCAAGGGAATTTTGGGAGGGGGAGAATAGTTATGCTG